TGGCGAGTGTGTTAAAGCTATGCTAACCACATCATCCAGAAGAGCTGCCGGGGTGGGCAAGGCAGCCAAGGCCCAGAGGCAGGATGAGGGAGGATCCCGCTTGAATGATCGGAGGAGGAGACAACTATCTGAATTAAACCTCAAATGAGGATTAAGAAGGTGGGTGGCACCTATGCCAAGAGCTGGGGAAGAGAAGTGCAAGCTGAGGGAACAAATGTAAAGGTCCTGAGGTGGGAAGAGCTGGCCAGGTATCAAACCCATCAGGCTAGAGGGGCTGCTGTGAGGGAGAGGAAGGAGGTAATGAGGCACTGAGGCTGTGGTAAGTGATTTGGACTTTCCTCCAAGACTAATAGGGAAGGCCCTGAAGTTTAATCAGGTGAGAGACGTGATCTGATTTTGTTTTTAAAGGACCCCTTGGCTGCTACATGGAGTCTGGACTGTGGGTTAGGGTGACAGGGATGCAGATGGACCCTGGAAGAGGCTACTGTGCCATCTGGATGGGAAATAATGAGGGCTGGGGGTGCTCATAGATGAAGTGGAAGATCTAGGATGCACCCAGGAGCATGCCAGTCCCTGCTTTATCTGTTAGACAACCTGCAGCCCTCAGCATGCTGCTCAGGGGATCCTGGTTCACAGCCCAAGCAGGCAAGCTCTGTCCAGACCCCTCAGCTAGGCCTACTTGACAGTACTTCTCCAGACAGAATAAATCCTGTCTGGATTTATTAATCTGTGCTCTCAGCTCAGCTGGGCACTCTTGGGACTGAGCCTGGTTCTGTTTTGGGTTCCCAGAACCTGGTAGCAACCTGGTACCAGACTCCATTCTCACAATCCTCACTCCAACCTGGGCTGGTGCTCAACTGCCACTAATATCCCAGAGCAAGCCCACTGTGCCCCTCTGTTAGGGCAGAGGGCTGGGTGGTGTTCCTACACCTTCTCTCTGCACAGCTCCCCAGATGGGGGACCGTTATCAACAGCACTTCCTTCCTCTGCTAGAGTCAGGTCTTGCTCATAACCCTCTCCTCTTGCTCCCTCAGGGCTTGTTCCCATGGTCCTCACTAGGCCCTCAATCCTGGGACTCAGTGGTGAGCCCTATGGCCAGGGCCCCACACATAAGTCCACCATTTCCCTTGTGCCCCTCACACTAAAGCTGCCACTTGATCCCCGGGCTGGAAGGATGCCCAGGTACTAGGATAACTATGGGATCAGGGACAGGGAGTGTGGCCTAAGCCTCTGCAACAGTCAAAAGCCACAACTTTTTTTTTTTTTGTCATTGAGATGTAATTCACATTCCATAAAATGCACTATTTTAAAATGTATAATTCAGCGATTTTTCGTATATTCACAAAGTTGCAACTGCCACCACCATCTAATTCCAGAGTGTATTCGTCACCCCAAAGAGAAATCCCATGCCCATTGGCAGTCACTTCCCACTCTTCCTTCTCTCAGCTCCTGGCAAACCACTTTCTGTTTCTATGGATCTGTCAATTCTGAGCAAAAGGCTCAGAATCCTTCCAGGCCACAGACTCCAAGAGGGGCCTGTAGAAAGGGCCACAGAGCAACGCTTCCTCATATCCTTTTTGGATAGAACCAGACTGGTGGTCTTGTACATCTAATCGCCTGAATTTCCCTTGGGAATGCTGCCTTATTATGTTAATTTCAGAATCCCCCCAGAGTCTGGCTCAGGACCAGCTCACTACCCTACCTCTCCACTCCTACCCCATTACAGGTCTCAGAACTGAGAAGAAAACACACACACACACACACACACACACACAAAGAAACAACAGTTATGATCTAGGCCAGTAACTGCCTGCAAGCCTATGTTAGATGCCTGGCAAACAACTTGCATGGAAAAAGCTTTGACTTAACTTCCCCCTTCCCCAAACAAAGCTTCAAAGAAACCAAATACCAAAAAGCAACTTTTTTTTTGGAAAAAAGTGTCTCTCTGCCCCATGGCAACTGGTTGTCAGTCAGACTTTTGGCTCCTGGCAAGGTTTAAGTCTGCTTGTTTAGAGGCCTTCAGACGTGGTGGCCACATGAACATCCCTCCCACACGTGAGTGGAGATGGTCTCTGGTGTGGGTTTGCCCTGCTATCTATGGAAATCCAGCAATTCATCTTGAACATCTTAGATCCTGAGCACAATTTTTGTTTGTTTTTGGGGTACCAGGAATTGAATTTAGGGGCACTTGATCACTGTACCACATCCCAACCCGATTTTATATTGGAGATAGGGTCTCACTGAGTTGCTTAGCACGCACCTCACTTTTGCTGAGGTTGGCTTTGAACTCACGATCTTTCTGCCTCAGCTTCCTGAGCCACTGGGATGACAGGCATGTGCCACTGTACCCGGTTTGAGCACAATTATTTAAAATTTTTTTTTAGATTTCAATGGACATTTATTTTATTTATTCATATGTGGTACTGAAGATTGAACCCAGTGCCTCATACATGCTAGGCAAGCGCTCTGCTATTAAGTTATAACCCCAGCCCCTTGAGCAAAATTTTTGACCACCTACATGTCCTCAGAGAGGCTGGACAAAGGATGAGAAGACCTAATTCTAAGACTTGCTAACAGGGCTTGGTAGCATATTTGGTAGTCTGTCCCCCACAGATGGGCTTGATAAAGACCAGCTTTGGAAAAACTCCCATGACAGTTTTTCCTCAGGGCCCTTTCTAGAGCTCCCAACCAATTACAGAAGACTTTTTCCTGACTCCAGACACATTAACTCTTTTTTGTTTATTTGTTTGTTTGGTACTGGGGACTGAACCAGAGGCATTTACCACTGAGCCACATCCCCGGCCATTTTTATTTTTCTTTTGAGACAGAGTCTCACTGTTACTGAGGGCCTCACTAAGTTGATGAAGTTGGCCTCAAACTGTGATACTACTGCCTCAGCCTCCTCAGTCACTGGGATTACAGGCATGTACCACCACACCCGGCCAGACATATGAACTTTGAATTGGATGATAAATATGCTCCAAAGATATGAAGCCAATCTCTTTTGCTTTGTAAAACCCAACCATATTTGAAGTGTCCATACAATTTTCTGCATAATTCAAACAACTACTTTTATTTGCTATGTGTTATAACTATCAAGTTTGCTTAAAACAGGATCCCCTATATTCATGTACATTTCCTCACCCTATGTCACTCTAACATAGGTCCCTGCCTCTGTCCTTGTCCCCAGCCCCAAAGAGCAGCTGAGGCCAGGACACAGAAATTCAGTGCCAGAGCCTGTCCTCCCATGTTCCCAGAAACTAGGAGTGGGGGCAGCAGCTGGGTGGGGAGGAGGGTGCAGTGCATAGACAAGCATCTGCCACAGCTTGGGAAAAGACTGGAAGCTGAAAAACATATGTCCCAAGCCAGGTGAGTGGTGCTGATCCTGACTGTGGGAGTCCACCTTCTGCCTACTCTTTGACCAGTGTAAACCAAAGGACACCAAATGGTCTCATGACCCACACCCTTATAGCAAAATGAAGCCCTTCCTGCTCTGGATACTCTCCTGCCACTTGCTCACACTGTAAGAGGAACCACTGCCTTCCCTCTGCTCTGCCATGGAGTCCTGGGAGCTAGCCCAGCCAGGACTGGGGCCTAGGCCTCTTGTCCAGTCATAGTTACTATGGTGACCATAGCCCCAGTCCAATCAATGCATGCCAGTGACTGGAAATGGTGGGTTATGTCAACTGGCCCCAAATCAAAGAGTTTACACCTTGCAGGGAATCCAAAAAAGCAACTGTTCCTGCAGGATGCACGGCTATGGGGACATGACTTCATCAGGTAGCAGGGTGGGGAAGAAGCCCCCTCCCTCATAGACCTGGAAAGAAGAGAATTACCCTTTATATCACAGAGCAGAGAAGTCAAGCAGACTTCTCAATAGCTAACGTGCTTGGTGTACAGAGATGAGAAGGGGTCCAGAGGGCAAAGATTTCATTTCTCAAGTCAGCTGTCTACCAGGTTTTTAGGTCTGAGCTTCTGGAGAGCAGCCTGCATCTGTCTTCTCACCTCTCACCAGCTTTAACAGGAAATAGCTCTCAGAACCTCCTTCCTCACTCCTGATCTGAACCAGCCTCACAGTCATCCTGTCCTCCTTCTGGGTGGACCCTGCCTGTGGCCCCATGCGCTGGGTTTACATTTGCACCCAATATCAACCTACCACAGACCTCCCCAAGCCTTCCATGCACCCTCATCTCTAACTTGGGTCAACTGGGGACTGTCTGAAATATTAATGTGATTTTTTTTTTTAAATGCAGCTTTAAAAGCACTCCAAATAGGCTCTTCACCCTTTATCTGGACCGATGGAAAAAAGCATGGTTTGTAATGATCATGAAATCTTTTCAGAGCTCTAGGTACTTAAAGGATTTAACTCACAATTCACTGAGCTGGTCCCTTACTGATACCACTGATTTGCAGTACATCTCTGCAAACCTTTCTTAGCAGGTAAGAGACCAAGTATGCCTCCTCAGAACTCACCTGGTGTGTAGGGTCCTCCTTTGGCACAGGCACACTCATGCCAGTAAGGACACATAGTGGAGAACCTTTCTTCTGCACAACCAGAAGATCCCATCAGGTCTCATTTTTCTGCCCATCCCTGAACCCAGGCTCAGGGCTTCCCAGGAGAAAGCTAACTGCAGAGCTCTGAGCTCAAATCACATTAAACACACCAACCTCTAGAGGAAGGTGATCTCAGCTCAAAAGTTGTTCACCCCAGCATCATGCAGCACAAGGACCAGGCCTGCACCTGCTTATGAGTGTGCTAGGAAGACAAAAGCCAATAATAGCTCCAGGGCAGGGGATGATCCAAGGCAGGCCCTCCTTCCTCCCCCTAGAGTTCTCCTCTTGGGTTCAGATCCCACTGGTTGTGTACGAGGAAAAAAGACAACCACAGAATGCTCACATACCTATTTCTTCTAGGCAAAAGTCACTTCTTGCCCATGCCTCACCTACCTGGTCAAAGGAAGAAGAAAGCGCTAGGGACACTGGCTGCTGGGGTCACTTACCAGTGGAGGCTGCGGCTGGGGATGCTGCCCTGCTCCTGAGGCGGGTGGGTAGTGCATGAGCAGATTGAAGGCGGAATAGACAGTCTCTTTGTACATGCCGCTGGAGCACCCCGGGGCCTTCAGGCCTGGAAAAACCACAGCTGGGTCAGATACCAGCCCAGGCAGCTGCTGGGGCTGAAGGCAGTCTGCTCTTGAGAGAAAAAATAAGAATTGCCAAGGGGTCTCCTTGTTTGTGACTTGCTAGGGAACGGGATGCGGGTGTCTTCAGTGCCAAGTTTTGTGGGAAGACCCCGAATCCAGGCCTTCCCCTGGCGGCCCCGAATAGAACCCCCACTCAGTCCTCCAGCCAAGGAACCTTGGCCAACGCTTTCTCCTCAAGGCTGGGGATTAGTCAGTCACCTGGGCAAGAGGGGAGGCGGAGGTGGAGGGGGTCTGTTCACTCCTATAAAGGTCAGGGCACCGGAAGTGACTCGAGCCCAGCAGCGCCCGGGAAACCCGCCCCCCACTCCCCCACCCCCCGCCCTGGCTTCTATCCCCTCCCCGAGCAGCAGCCGGGGGAGGCACCCCCTGGATTCGCTGTTTCCCCATCGAGGCCAGGGCCTCAGCGCGAGGAAGAGGCCGTGCAGAAACTCACCGTCCTCCAGAGACTCTGGAAGTTTGTCCGGGAAAAGTCTCTGCGAAGTGTGCTCCCGTCCCAGAGCCTAGAGGGAGAACCAGAGGGGCCGTGAGGGGCGGCGGGGACCATGGGGCTCAGGGCCGGGGAGGAGGGCTCTGAAGGATGGAGACCCGGAGGGCCGCAGGCGGGAGGGCTGGTCAGCTCGCGCCGGCGCCAGGCGGGGCGACCCCGACACAGTGGGCGCGGGCAGACGCTCACCTCGGCCCCGACCTCGGCCTCGCTGCGTGCTCCGGCGCCGGTACCCGGGATCCCAGAGCCTTCGGCCGCGCCCTCGGACTCATTCACGAGCGACGACTTGAGCTCGGCCAGGTCGCGCTCAGGGCCCGCGGCGCTGTCGCGACTCTTGTCCTGCTCCTCGCCCTCGTCCTGGAAGGCCAGCAGCTCGTCGGGCGCTCCTAGGTCGTCGCCGCCGCCAGCGCCGCCCCCGCCGGAGTCCAGCTGCGGCATGGTGCCCTCCGCCCGCCGGGGCGCAGGGAGCGCGGGACGCGGAGAGTGCGGGGCGCGGAGCCGGCCCGGGAGGCGGCGAGCCCGGAGTCTGGACCTCCGAGCCCGGATCGCGGCGGGCGGAGCGCGGGCTGACTCCGCCTGGGCGGGCTGTGGGCGCCGGGTAAGGGCGCGGGGCTGAGCGGCTCCCGGAGCGGGCGGGTCGGAACATCAAAGGCGCCGCCGGCTGAGTGCCGGGGGCGGGGCGGGCACTCCGGGGGCGGGCCCCGACGGGGGCGTGGCCGAGTAGTCTGGGTCCGCCCCCTCCTCTCCCCGGAGAGGCCGGGACGCACCCACTAGGCACAGCCTTAAAGGGCTCGCTTTCCGTGAGTGAATCCTGAGTGAGACGTCGGAGCAGCTTAAAGATTGTCACTCTTCTCCTGTAATGTCAGGACCCTAAAGGAAACTCCTGACCCTGCTTTCTCCCTCCACCAAGATATTGTCATCCCGTGTCCAGGTTTCTTTTCCACTTGCGTAGGGTGAGGGTGCCTTGGGACTTGGGTGTGGTTTCAAGTCGCGGCCTTAGCGTGAACTGCGTCTGGGCGCCAGGCCCTTTGTGCCCTGTGCTTTGAACTGGGGGTTTTTTAGAGCTTGGGGCCATTCGGAACCCAGGGAACCGTCAAGATTAGGAATTCTCAAAGACCCATTCTCTGCCCCATTCTCCATCTCTATGTCAATCTGGAACTTCCTTCCAGGTTGCCCGCCCACTGTGAGAACAAGTATACAATCCTCACAAATTTATTGAGCGTCTGTTGCATGCGCAGCTCATACATCACACATCTGTAACAAGCCCCTCAACCATGTGGCTCTCCGAGGTGCGAACACAGAAGACTAGGAGGAAGGAACCCCGCCGCCGAACTCCAGCCACCACCACCCAACCACGACTTTCCCAGCTTAGTTCCACACCTAGAATTTCTGTACCCCAAGGACTGATTTCCCAGGGACTTTGAGCAGCCACGTGGACCACGGTTTCCGACGTGGGGTCCTTCACCCGCAGCAACTCGATCTGGGAAGTTGCTTTCTGAAGCCCATTGACGATGGTCGGTGCAGAAGCTTCCATCTTATCTACTTGGCAGCTGGAGCCTTATTCACAGGGACCTCCCGTGACTTGGTCTCAGCTCAGCTTCTGCATCTGCAAAAAGACACTGGTTCTTTGGATCGCGGTTTTTTGGGTCTGTCGGGGACCAGTAAACTGCAGGTTGGCCCCCAGCAGGTTTCTGTACTGGATTCAATGTAGATGCTCCCGCCTCTTCTAAGAGCAGTTGAAACCGAGGGTATTTGGGGGAGGGGGCATTGAACGCCTCGCCTCTCTGGCTCGGGGCCCCACAGGACCGCTGGCAGCAGTGCAAAGCCGGGCCGGAAGACAGCCGCGCCGCCCCTCCGGGTCCAGGCCCAGCCTAGCTGGCTGCGGATCAAAGAGCTAGGGCCGTCCTTCTCAGTGTTCAGATGCTATCTGCGCCTGCCCAGCGGGGAGCCGCCGCCCCCCACCTCTGGGCTAAGGTGTCCTCCCGTTGGGTCTCTCCAGCCTGCTTCCCCAAGGTGTGACCAAGTGCTCAATTGGATCCCGGTCCCTCTATCTTGCGGGGAGGGGCTCCAGCCAAAAACCGCCCTGCCTGGAGAGCACTGACACATGATCTCCCAGCCCCTCCACCCCCATCAACTACCCAGGTTGTAGGGTCTGGCTTTAGGATGAACCTCCCCTAAAAGTTGAACGGAAATAGGTATCTGCCTAACCCTAAGGCGTTTGGGGTGGGGTTAGGGGGGCTTCTGTGTTTGTGGGTGACTACAGCTTAGGCAGAACCGCCTCCTGAACAATTGGTAAGATCCCTGAGGTCTCAGTGGACACAGGCCGGTGGGGACTGAAGTTTTCTCCAAGGAGAAAAGAAAGAATTCAGAAGGGGCAAGTGAGGTGTGTCCTTTTTTTTTTTTTTTCCTCAAGGGTAAATTTTTTTCAGTTTGGTATTAGCCTTTAATAAAAAAATTACGTTCTTTCTGCTTTATTGGTGTGAAAGCATCCTTTCTTTACTAAAATGATGGTGAGAATATATTTTTTTAATGACCTAATTTGGCTAAAGAAAAATGACATTTTTTCTGATCTGTTCACTCCCCCACTCTCAAGTTTTTTTGGATATTTTATAGGGCTGTGAAATCCCTAAGCCGGGAACGTCCGCCCTCTGATGTCCTGGCTTGGACTCCTTGCCTTGCTGGGAGGAACAGGGGAGGGGGAAGGAAGAGTAGGGGTGTGAGGAGGGGTAATGCAGAGAGGAGGGCTGAGTCACAGGCGTTCACAGCCTCGCTGAGATCAGTCTGAAAGCTCACTGAGGGATCAGCTACTGTGCTTAGCCCTAGGCTCAGGCTGAGGAGTGGGGGGGTAGAAGTGCCTTCTGGGAGCCACAGGCTGCTTTGAGAAGTTGAGGACTTGTCAGAGCTAAGCTGGGGGCTGGATCAGCCTGTACAGAGTTGAGTGGCAGGAGTTCCAGTGGGCTGAGGCAGTCAGGGTGGCCTCCTAAAGGTGGTTTCCATCGGGGCCTAGAATGCCGAGGAGGAGAAGAACAGGAGCTTAGACTTGTTTCCCAAAAGGCAGGTACATCCCCATAGGAGCCCTTGGTCAGCACCGGTTCCTTTATCATTCCCTTATACTCATTCAAACAATGACCCCATATACTGAGTTAATACTATGTGCGAGGCATCCTGCCAAGTGCTTCACACACATATCTCATTTAATCATCACACCAACCCTGTGACATGAGGACTATTATCCCCATCTTACTAATGAGGAATCTAAAGTTCAAAGAGGTTAAGTAAATCCCCCAATATCTCACAGCTTAAAAATGAGGGTGTCAGAACTCCAAACTCAGGCAGTCTGACTCTTGAGCCTACACCCTAATGACCATACTCCAGTATTCCATTATGGCCCTAAAATTCCAAAGGAGTCCTTATCTGCTGTGTGGTCTTGGCAGACAAATGATGATGAATGAGCTGTCACCAATATAGAATCCTAACTTTCTGGGTGGCTCTCGTTGCATGGTGGGGCCATCAAGAAGATTGGATAATCCCCCTGGATGGTATATATGGGTGGCCCAAGCCCTTGTTGGGGTTAGAGAGCCCAGAGCCTCTCCCTGAGCCCAGACCCTAGCCTGTGCCATCTCTCCTGGCTGCCCTGGGCTACCTGTACTGGTCAGTGACTTAGATCCCAAAGACCATGGGCCCTGGAGTTCCTCCACAGGGTGGTGGTTGAGACCTGCTGTGGCTGCCCCCTTGGAGGTTACAAGCAAGTTTCAAATCCACCCAGAGTGGTCTGGACTCATTAGTCAGGTCAGAGGTGTGTTTTATTAAGGCTTCATCTTCATGCTAATTAATCAGGCAAACCTGACTTTCCACGGATGTTGGATAAAGTGCGAAGTCAGGACCCTCAAGGTTTGAAGGTCTGAGAAAGAAAGCTCCTGCTTTGGATCTGGGCAGACGGGTGTTTCTATCCCTGCCCTGCAATTTACTGGCTGTGAGATCCCAGACAAATCACTGACCCTCTCTTAGCCTCAGTTTCCTCCTGTGTGAAATGGGTGTTGTATCTGCCTTTGACTGTTGGCATGAGGTTGAGGCAAATCACCGTATCCTAGTAAAGAGCTCAGCACAATGTCTGGCACATTTCAAGCGCTCTAATAAATAGGTGCTCTTGAGCTAGATATTTTTCGGAAGTTGTTAGGCTAATTGGCTCTTCATGTAACGTCATGTAAATCATCTGAATGTTCTCATGGCCTAAGCCCACTTAATCATAGCTAAAGCTGAAAATATACATTTCCTTTCCTTTCCTTTCAAGTTCCTATAACATGAAAGGCCCCCATGAACTCTCTGACCTTTTTTTTAACAGGGAGAACCTTGAAATGTGGCATTTCCAGAAAATGTCTCAAAGGAGACCCAGATGGATTTAGTAAATTATAGCAGGGAGAGGTTCCTAGCAGCGTCTCTTCCTGCCTGCCAGCCTGCCTGGCATCCTGTTGGGACTTGCCAAAAGAGGCCTAGAGGCCCGGCTGCAGGCTCCTATAAGGCTTCCCGTGGAGTGTCTCTCTCAGGGCAGAGTCGGGTCACAAGTCCCAGAGTCAGTGTGGTTTGTTGCTACAAACACAGTTTGCTCTCTAGAAACTGTGTGTTTGAGTGTGTGTGACTAGGTGGCTGGGACCTGTATGTCGGCAGACACATGATGGCTTTGATGCAACATCCAATGACCATTTCTTCCTTTATAAAGAAGAAGGGGAACCTCTGTAGGTCTCTTCTCCCCCTCCCCCTGTCCCTCATATTTTATGCAATACCAAGACTTACTATCAAAATTAAAATATAACAATGAAGCTAGAAATTAGTGTTTCCTGATGAAACCCCAAGAACATTTGGCCAAATTGGCTTGAGGAGAGGGGGAATTACAAGGAGATCCACTCTGTAGGTTCAGAGAGCTTGTGACTATTTCCCACACTGTACCAAACATTGCCCAATGAATGGGCCTAGGGTTCACTTACCAAAAGGATAAAACATCTTTGATTTCCACAGGAAGGGGTTTGGAGTCAGAGACACCAAAGTAGCTGGCGTAAAGGTGGTCCAGGAGTGGCTGTCAGGTGCCAGGCCATCAGTGTTCATTGGTCACCCAAGAACACCCAAACCACCACTGGCTGTCGTGCAACTCAAGTAAATCCTCTGCCTTCTCTGGGTCCAGAATCATCTAGAACTGCAAGGGTCCCTTACCTAGTTCCGGGTGAAAGATATGGAGAATAAGTCCAAGGACATTTTCCCTATCTGCAGCTCTTCCCTTATCCGCAGGGTCCAAGTAAAATTAAAATCCCAGGCCTCAGCCAGAGTGAAGGAACCCAAAAGGTTCTACACCTAACTGGCACCTTGACCCCGCCCCATCCTAACAGGTCTGCTGACTTCAATACAAGCCCCTGGAAATTTCCTATTCACATTCCTGCCCTACCCTAATGGATCTGCTGGACCCTAATACAATGAACCCCAGGAATTACCTTCCACCCTAACGGAAGCCTTTATAACCCAGACCTTGCTTCAGCTTTTTGCCTTTTTCTGCCCCAAAATGAGCCATGCCAGGTGCTTGACCAATGAAGAAAAGCTAGCTGATTTGAAGTTTGCCTT